GTGCACTCGGTTACCTCCACTCACTGCACATAGTTTACAGGTATGTGACTGGATGCAGTGCCCTTAGTGGAGAAGCAGTTGAACTGTGTGCTAGATTCTGTTCGTTATAATGGGCTCTTACCATTTTCTGTCAATTTTCACAGAGACTTAAAGCCAGAGAACATCCTCCTGGACTCTCAGGGCCACATTGTGTTGACAGATTTTGGTCTATGCAAAGAGGGACTGGAAGCCAATGGCACAACCACAACGTTCTGTGGAACTCCTGAGGTAAGGTATTCGAAAAAGATTGAGTGGATCAATAATGCACTCTAAAGTTCAGCTAATTGCATTTAATATGCATGTAAACTATAATACATTTTCACTGAATTGTAATTAGCATGCAATTAAAAACATCACATTTCGTTCACATTTAAGTATATATTTTTTAAGTATTTTATTTTAATAAAAAGTACTCTTTTTAAAAGTATGCTAACACAAGATAGTTTGTCTAGTTTAGAAAAGAACTGGTGTTTTAATTAGTGATTTGATATAATTTTTTTCTTTTTCATCAGTACTTGGCTCCTGAGGTGCTGCAGAAACAGGCCTATGATCGTACAGTAGACTGGTGGTGCCTGGGATCAGTGCTGTTTGAGATGCTGTATGGACTGGTGAGAAGACCCATCAAGTCTTTTGCCTGAAAAATGACTAGATCAGCTGTTGCAAAGGATAAATTTTGCGTTTTGCGAACAATGTCAATTAATTTCTATGTCTGTTTTTCTAGCCTCCATTCTACAGTCGCAACACAGCCGAGATGTACAACAACATCCTTCACAAACCTCTAGTCCTGAAGCCTAATGTGTCCAACGCTGGCCGTGATCTGCTGGAGGGTTTGCTGCACAAGGACCGTACCAAGAGACTGGGATCCAAAGATGATTTTGTAAGTGAACACAACACACCAGTGCCACATGCATAAAGTTTATTCTTCTGAGATTGCAGATTCTTATACAAGCTTTTGCTTATTTGTAGCTGGAAATGAAGTTCCACAGCTTCTTCTCTCCCATCAACTGGGACGACCTTATGGCCAAAAAGTGTGTGCCTCCTTTCGTTCCTACAGTGGTAAGTTAACTTCTTACCTGCACAGTCAAAGGTTAATGTCAAATTAGAAGTACTTTAAAGTACATTTTAAATGTGTTAAGAATATTTGTCATGCTTAAAGGACACTATTTTGATGTGTTGACTAAGCACATGTAAAGTACTTGATTATAATTTTTACTGTAGTGTGTTATTCAATACTACATTTAAAGTTAAAATATTTTAAATGAACTAAATTGCAACTTCATCATTACAAATGTGTAAATTTAAATGCATGACATGCAAGTTTGAACAGAAATGACATGAAAGCATATCTTAGTTTACCATAAATCATTCTCAATACAAGGTGGTAGCATTAAGATTAATATTTCTGATGGGGTATTTAATAAATTCTCTCTCTATTGAATCTACAGTCTGGTCCCACTGACCTCCGGCACTTTGACCCAGAGTTCACCCACTTACCCGTCTCGACCTCCCTATGCAACACTGATAACCTGCACATGACCAGCAGCGTACGGGAGGCTGCCGGAGCATTCCCAGGCTTTTCTTATGGTCCCCCAGTTGGCCATGCCTTCCAGTAACGGCTTCCATGACCCTCCAAAACGTCCATTCCAGCATCACTAGATGCATCACGAAGAAGGACCACAGTGCGGGACACTTAGCTCTTCTGGTTTATTTGCATGCACGACCTGGCAGCACAAGGGACACTTGTGCATGACCAAGAGGAATGGGGGACACTGTAGGACACAAACTACAGTAACAACAACGTCCAGAAAAGATGCAATGTGTGCCAATGGATGCAGAGAGGACCTGAGCTCAGAAAGAGAGAGAGCTTAGAAGTGCCTGAGAGTTGAACTGATGATCTGTGGAAGAAAAGGCAAATTTATACAACAAACTATGGCTTGCCAGAGATGATTGCACCAGCTACTTGGCGAAACGCCTTTTGTGATCTTTTACATTTGATCAAAATATCTTTGGATGATGTTTTATTTAATTGTATTTTTCATGCATCATTGCACAGTGGAGGTAAAGGATCAAGAATAGTACAAAATACACGGATGGTCCGTTAAAAGGGGTGATTATATCAACCCCTATCAATACAAGAGGATACACAGACTGTCCGACTCAAATATCAATACATTTTTAATGAATACATTTATTATCTTCTTCCTATTGACAAATGTTAATTTAATAACTGCATTATTGATCATACTGCATTATATTAGTGTGGTTTAGCTTAGCTCTTCAGTCCTACTCAAAACTTCCCAAGCTATGTTTAGGTTTATATTAGAAGGAAAATGAGTTCTGCAAGCTTTCAGCTGTGATTATTTGTCTGAATGAGTAGAAGACATCCGGTGTTCCTCCTAAAATGAATATTTTGTCTTACAAGTACTTTCTTTCCTTTTTTTCTCCAATGCCAGCACTTTTGCACAAAATGCCAGACACTGTGTTTCCTGGAAAGGCAATTTTAGTAGTCGCACATCACATTCTGTTATCATCCATGTATCATCGTTATCCGAAGCGATTGCTGTCCATTGCAAACACAGCATGTCGATTAGATTGTATTGAAACTTTTGCATCATGCACAGAAGTTTTGTAGTAGCCCAGAAGGAACTGTCTTTTCTGTTCAAAATGTGCCTGTACAGCTAATTTATGTACATTGTGGTACATTTCCATGTGTGTCTATCATTCCTGTCTGCATCACTCTGGGTTGAACAGGGTCATGGAATGCTGTGCAATAGAAATGGTGACTTGATAGAGATGCGAA